CGTGGATTTCAAGGAACGACTAGAACCAAGCAGGTAGAGCTGTTACGCCTGCCTGCCCCCGAGTACACTGGTCGCCAGTCACTATTCCAACTCCGATCACGGCGCTGGCTCGACTGAGTCGAGCTACTGAGCGTCCGCGAGTCCCCACCCCGGCAGCCACGGCCTCGTGCGGCTTCGTCGAGCTTCGGCTCCGCTCGCGACCACTTCGGCACGCCTCGTGCCTCGCCGCGACCTCGTGTCGTGGCTAGAACGCGATGCCTCACCGCCGGGTACCCAAGGCTCCCTCCTACAGGAAACTAACTTACTCCTCTGTTCGGGAATGCACGTTTTCTGGCATGCCGCTTCGAAATTATAACCAACTAATGCCCCTGTCTGCCCTGTCTTGCCCTGCCCTTCTCCTCCCGTCCCTTTGCTGCCGTGTCGTGCCCTGCCCTGCCCTGCTCTGCCTATCTGTAACGTAACACGCGTCGAACACCGGTTCGACCAGCGCCTCCGACACTCGTGTCCACTGAAACCGCGACTTGACGCGTCGTGGGCGGGAGACTATCGCAGTCGGGAATAAACGTCGAAGGTGGAAAGCTCTGTTTTCCTACGAATGACAATCGGTCGATCTCTTATTTAGAAAATGATTCACAGGCGCGTAAGTGGATTACCCGCCACGCGTTCGAAACACGGGAAATGGCGGCTGCCCGCAAGGTGTCGAGGCGTTCTGCCCGAATCGGAGCGGCAAAGATGAATCTTAGGATTACGTTGGAATTGGAATTCGATTGGATAACGTTACGGTTGAAGTTTACGACGAGCAATTTAGACGTTAAGTGGGTTAGCCAGTAAAAATTGTTTACATAAACATACCGTACGTCCAGCGATCAACGTGTCCGAGTTGACGGGTTCCGACGAGAACCTTAGGCGGATAGAACAGAATTATTCATGCGGTTAGCGATGGTATATCCGAGGCATTCAAATCAGTATAGGAAACGCGCGAACGTTTACGAATTCAGAGGTATAACGCACAATCGTTGGAACGTGTGAAAGGTTCTTTCTCTCTCTCTCTCTCTCTCTCTCTCTCTGTTCGCCGGTTGGGTATCGGTGCTTTCATGTCACCGGAAACGGAGAACAAGCCTCTGTGTTCGTCGAATTACACGAAAAAGAGGTCACGAAAATGTTTTATGGGTGTTTAAGGTGGCCTGGGGTCGGCGTCAATGGGACCGTGACGTCGTGCCGGAATCACGCACGACGATCGTGACATTGTGAGAATACCCGGCGTCGCGAAACTAATACAATCGGGGCCCAGCCGACAAAAGACGTTCAAAATTGCCCGTGAACAATTGTCCCATCGACGAACTGTCATAGCCAATTGTTCGCCGGCTAGGAGCCCAGGAGGAAGGGTGGCGAGCTGAAATATACCTAAACGACTTAATAACCTACATCCCCCGTTAATCCGTTGACCCTTCCGACGTATTAGCGAAACCTTGGCCAGCCTTCGATGAATATTTAACGAGCAACGGTACGAACGTTCCATTAATTACGAAACAAGTATTTCCACAGAGATCAGAATGAAAATGAAAACGAGGGGGCATCGGGCGTCGAGTTGGCTGCTTTCTGCTCGACTATGACACTTTTTTACCGGACAAAGGCGATCCGTCGCAGTAGGAACGTGTTTCGCAGCGATCCTCGGTTTTCGGACGGACAAAAGGACGCGGCGACTGGTTTCTCGAGGAGAGCGGAGACACGCCGCTTATGGGAGAGGCCGGAGAAGCGTTTCTTCTCCGCGGTGCGACACCGGGATCACAGCTGCCATCGGGCACGATTTCCACGAGAACGGACCCTGGCCGTTTCTGTTTACCGCGCGTCCTCCAAGTTAAATAGACCCTCCAGCCGCGCAGCGTGGTACTCCGAGGCTTTCGGGGAGGAAAAGAGCGCGCGCGCGCGCGATTGTCGGGCCTCTTCGTCCCGACCGTTTTCCAGGCTTTCCAGAAACTCCACGGACTTTTCCGGCCTCTGTACTGTTACTCCGTTTTCGGGCTGTTTTATTGAATTCTGGGAAGGGTTCTTACCTGGAAATTCGAGTTCTGAAGCTGTCAGCGTCGAAACCTCCAGTTCGGGAACAGTGCTGCTGCGCATTTGGAAATTACCTAGTTCTACAGACTGTTTTGCGCTTGCCGGGCTCTAGATTCGCTTGTATTCTAGTTTGAGCGGTGCCGAATGAATTTATTTAATAGCGGGTCTCGTTGATTTCGCGGAGTCCTCTCCCAATGAAACGCCACGCAACGTCACGCACAGATGATGCGTCGCGTTAACGCGAGGCAAAGTGAAAGAAAAAAGGAAAGGGAGAAGAATGAAAAGTATAATAGAGTTTACATGGCACTCATCGCGTGCTCTGGGGCGAACGAGACTCAGGGACGTTTTTTAAGGGGGTCAAGGGGAGCCTGCGCCCCGGGGCCGTCCTTATTAACGCTGACCTCTACACCTCGAAATCGAGAATTTCCAAATTTCTTACAAAAATCCCCAGTGGCACGTTCCCCCCCTCCGATCGTTTTTTTTCTCAATTCTCGTCGACTCGCCGCTACATAGCCCTGAATTAATCCTATTTGCACGCTCGACGCCATTGGCGCGGCAACTAACATGGACACGTGTCGCCGGATTCTCTCGTAGAAATCTACTCTGTCTTCGAAACTTTTTCACACGATGCTACCTATCGAAAGTACGAGGTCTACCGTGAGTTTCCTCGGAGACAAATTCGCCTAGATTCTCAGTAGACGGTTCACTCGGAGATGGCGGCCACCGATTCGACATTCTCGATGATTTTCCGGTGGAACGCGACCAGTGAGAAAGTCGTTAACGAAGCTTTAATTGATGGACACGCGTTACACCGTTGCCGCGTATCGCCGCGCGGGATCCATGCAACCTTAAACTTGCATCCGTGCATACGATTGCATAAACTGGCCGGCTTCGGACGGAGTCACGAACGCGGTTAATGGAATATGCATTCTGACCCGCGTGGACCGTAATAAAGGTGTTCCTTCCTGTTATTAACGCGAATCAGGGAATCAATTTTCGGGGATATCGATCTTCCTCGGAACCACCACCTGTCGATCATTACGGCGCGAAAGATCGATCGCCTGGAGCCCGTGAAATCGCCAGAAACGATGCACGAAACGTTCGGGTCGCTATGATGCTGCAAACCGTTTGTCTAAAAGCGTCAATCGAGCGAAACTTTCTTCGCTCCTCGAAGCAACCATACGCGAGTATTCGCTGCTTGACGCGAATGTTTGTATAGAAAAAGAGTCGCAAACGAATTCGAGAGTCGCAGTTCGGAGAGGGTCGAAAAATCGAAGCCGACGACGCTGGTTACTTAACTTTCCCATGGCGACGACGGTGGCGCGAGCCTGTTGCTCCGACTGAATTAATTTCGCGGTTACGTCAGTGGCTCTCGGGGAGCCGTCGAGCGAATCGTTACTCGGCCAAATACGTTTATTCGGCATCGATTTCTATTACTTCGATTCCACCTATAAGCTCGTTGCGCAACGAGACCCGAGAATGCGCGAAATTCGAGAGGAAGGGAGAGAGAGGGAGAGAGAGGGAGAGAGACAGAGAGATCGTGGATAACGACTGGAATCTAACAGGCACTCAAAGGCCCCCATATACGTTGGAACATGTGGCGATGCAAGCATCACTGGGAGCGATGGGTTTGAACCTTTTCCACTCGTCGTTCGAGTGCGAAAGCTGCCACGAAACACTGCAAGACTTAAACGCATCATTTGCTGAAAGTTCAAAGGTTGAAATTTGAAAGCTAGAAATTCCTAAGCGAAAGCTAACTCGGGCCTTCGCAGGCAAACACTTTGCGCTCGCCGGCGAGCCAGAACAGAGGAATTCGAAATTCTTGAACCACTGGTCGTTTTCCATCGGGAATATGGACCCTTCGGCGAGCTACCCTTGGGTCGATAAACCGTTTTGGGTTCTTAAGCGAGGAAGGGCCTATTTCTATAGTCCAATGGACCTTTAGCTGCTACGCGCAGCAGCTACAAGTCTTTCGGGGAAGTTGTATTGAAAGATCGACCATTAAGTTTCCAGGGTGTTTTTTCAAACGCCGATCCGCTGCATTGGCCGTGAAGTAAAATGTACGGAGTATACGAAATTGTGCCTAGTTTATAAATTTATTGCAAATCCTTTGGACTTCTGCCTGGAAAATACGAAATGGCGCAGAGTATAATCTGTAGGAAAAATACGGTGATCGAGCACGGGTCAAGCTAAAGAAAGAAGCTAAAGAAAGAAGTAAGGAGGGAGGTTAATTAAACCGCGTCCGAGGTTGAACGCGATTAAGGGTCAAGAACTGGAGAAGCGGAAGGTCGGGAAATTCGCGTCGCGATCAATGGAAATGTGACGAAAGCGCGCAGGTGAAGGCCGCTAGTGACGCGATCGGAGATTGTCCGTTGGAAAATAGCTCGTTTCGACTTATCGGATGGCTGTCGAAGACACCCGACAAACTCATAGAAATCATCGCCTAATCCCAACATTTCCTCTTCCAATTAATAAACGATTCCCCACCGAATCCGTAAAACGTCGTCGATACTTTCCACGAGGAAACGATCGATCGATCGATCGATCGAACGTATCGATATCGATAATAAACGACAGCGATAGAGTTGATCGCATCGAGCATTTTCAATATTATCGTTCGGCAAAGATCCGAGCGACGATCCTCCGAGACCCTAACCCGACACTCAAAGGTTAATAAATCGCTTCCGGTGTTAATTGCTGAACGCAGACGGACCAACAGTTAAACGATCATCCTC